ACTTCTACAAGAGGGTCTCTATTCATATCAAAAACAAAAATATTAAAAAATAAAAGTTCAAAAATTGCGTTTTTTAAATTCACTTCCGGTAGCGACCGGAAGTATTGATGACACACGGAAAGGTGATTCTGCAAAGCTATAAGTCATGAACTATCATCTCAAATAAGTCTCCTGTTCATATCTTAAGCAGTTTTCGCTACTAAGTTCAGACAAAATTGCATTTTAAAATCAGGAAATTGTAGATAACTCACGACCGAAAGTGACGTAATCAACACAAAAAATTTCCAATAAGGTTCTGATCAGTACCTATCAGATGTGAAAGTCTCATGAGAATCGGCCCAGTAGTTTACGAGAAATCGCGTGCACAAAATTGGTAAGAATAATAATAATAATAGGTAAAAAGAAACCGAAGAATAACAAGAAGGTCTTCCGTTGGAGACGGAAGACCTTAATAAAAGTGAAAAAGAAACAATACAATAATAGAAGGGTCTTCCGTTGGAGACGGAAGACCCTAATAATAAGAAACAGAGTAAAAACAATATGTTCCCCAACTTCGTTTGGGGAACATAATTAGTTATATTTTTTCCATGGACCTCAAATTAATCCCCTAGAAGGTAAAACCTTTTGTTGGCCTATCATCCTATGTCTAAGTTATTTTTTAGGATACACTCTGTTTATGTGTTATCCTCTTTAAAGAAGCGGACAGGCTATCGCCTACATACACTTCGATGTAGGCGATAGCCTGTCCGCTTCTCTAAACAGCTAAAGAGAATACATATGCGTCAGAACAAAACAGGTCCAGTACAATCAGTACATTTAGCTACCTAGGTAGAATTACCTACGTAGCTTTATTTACCTACCTCAGGTAGCTTTATTTAGCTATTTCAATGTATCTTTTCTTTTTATGGAAAAGAGACAAAAAATCGCAGTTAAATGACTATTGATATTTATACTAGGGAGACTTTAAAAAACATTCCAAAGCAGAGATAGTTTAAACATCGCTGTGTTTGATCAGTTTAGAGCCAAACGTGTAATTCCATTGTTTGGTTATCTGTCCGTGCGGTGAGGCATGACTGAGTATGATTACCTCACATTGGGCTGAATAATTACTGACATATTATCATGTTAACCAGAACTGGACTTCTTTGTCATTTCATTCAAGGAGTAACTGTTCTAACTGTAATACATAGCCCCAAAACTTTCAGAACTTTGATTGCAATTGCGCAGAAAAAGACGTTTCTTCAAGAGGGAAATTTTCATGAATTGTTTTCAGATGAGTTTACTGTTGAAAATGATCACTGCATCAAAATGATACTTTTTGTACATCCTGAGAAAAATGCTTTTTTATAGAAAGAAATTCATTTGGTAGTTAAATCAAGCTACCTGAGGTAGGTAAATAAAGCTACGTAGGTAATTCTACCTACGTAGCTAAATGTACTGATTGTACTGGACCTGCAAAACACACAGTCTGTGTATTTTGTTCTGACACATGACGTTGTAGAGACTGTAATGAAAGTTAGTTAAAATAAAATAACTTTAAATTACTTACTCAAAATTTAGTAAAACTTCAAATAAATTTCACTCAGCATAAAAAGACCATTCGATTCACCTGGCTGCATTACGTAGAACCTGAATGAGAACGAAATCCGAATTTACTCTGAAAGATTTCGTTGCAAGTTGAATTATCAATAAATATGTGCATTATAAACTCAAAATATGACAAACAATTAACAAAACATACATATTTATCATTGTTTTAAGGAATTAGATCACAATCAGTCAAAAGGAAAGTCTGGAACAAACCATAGAAAGGAGCTCTCGCTGACTCGGACTCTGACTCGTTTTTTTCTGTAACAGGAAGTGGTGCAAATGGAACCTGGCTATTCAGTTTCGTATTCACCAAAGAATCGGGAAATACCTTAATTTTTATAATATTCGTCGTTCATATTTTAATCTTGAAAATGTATCTTCGCTTCAAAGACGAACGCTGATGACTATGTGATATAAATTTACTTCATGGAACCAAAGCTAGTTTTTTATGGAAGGCCGTACGTCACAAATTACGTCATCATGCGGATCAGAAACAGACTAGAAAGAGCAGAATGTTTTCAATTGCATATTTTCTGTAAGTTTGTAAGATTTTTAACTTCTTTTTATACCAGATACAGTGTTTATGTAATAACTTTATTTGGGAATATTTGTTGACAGCTTAATAAAAAACGGATTTAAGTAGATCTAACATCTATGGTATGTGTTGAAGGTGAAAGATGGGCCTGATACAGGTTCTCTGCTCTTCTTACAATATTATTGAAAAGGCCTAGTGAACTAGGGTAGGTCTTTTTTTTTTGCTTTGTTTTTAGATCCTGTTGTACCTGGATCTGGTATATACAATTCAGCAAGCAAATAACACACATAGTGGCGAATCCTAGATAAGGGGGGGGGGGGGTGTTGCGGGGTTGTAGATAGAATGTTCTATCGTTATGATGATAAATGTCCTACTGAACCGGTCACTGAGGGCTTGTCCCGAGACAAAGTTAGATTATTCTATCTACTGGGGTTGCAACCCTCCCATTGACTTTGCAAAAAAAGGAATAAGAAGAAAGTTCAAAAGTTTTATTTGTGTTTTTACCATAGAAAATGTTGAGTGAAAAGCTAAAGTTGTAATGTATAAAGAAATTAGGTCAAAACAAAATGCCCCCCCCCCCTTTTACAAAATAGGATTCTCAGTTCTGAGATATATTTTCCTTTCTTTTTCAAAATCCTTTCTGGTAATCCATACTGTTTACAAATACCTTTTCCCAGGTTTATGAACCTCCTACTTTAAAAACCATGCTCTACCCGGTATCCTATTGAGTTAATTAACTACATGTATGTGTAAAATATTTTTCCTCTTCATACCCCGCAGTAACGGGGTCATTCGCCCGATCTACCCGTTCCCTGGAGTCTGTTCGCGCAGAGTCCGTTCATCCGAAATATTTTTTGCCCAATATCTACATTAAATTAGACCCTGTGCGAACAAGATTTAGGGCAAGCAGAGTCTGGGCGAATGAAAAATCGGGCGAACGGGAAATCGGGCGAACAATTTTTAGGACGAACGAACGTGGAACCTAAACACCCCCACCCCCCTTGAAAAATCTTTCAACCCCTCAACAAAAAAATTGTTTTCTGTACTTGCAGGTATTTGCAGGGCACTCCATTATACCACACTGATAGCTTCTCCAAGATTATAAATATGATACATGTAAACAGGTAAGAAAAATCTAAGAGAGAAATTTATTTGTAACAGAGCCTGAGGTGCTGTAAACAACTTTTATTCGCGGCAACTTTATTTCACGATATACCAGGGATAAACTAGTTCGCGACCTCTAATTTTCGCAATCAAGCCTTTATGCATCTGTTTTTCGTGGACAAATATACTTTTAGGACAGGTTCGTGGGGAGAAATATTCACGATGACAAGGCTCTCGTGGAGTTCGGGAAAGTTTCTTACACACGAATAAAAGTTGGTTAATAGTATTCATTGTTTAATAAAAAGGATATTGTTATATCATGTATAATAATTTTGTTATTATACATGTATAACAATTTTGTTATTATACATGTGTACATGTAGCAAAACCTTAACCATGATTCAGCTTATTTTTGCTTATCTTGCTTTTCTTTAAAGTAAATATAATCTTCATTGATTTGTAAAACACATGTTTTAAATAAAGTGATAAAGGGATAATGAACTCATTGTTATTAAACCTACATTATCTGACATTTTTGAGTTTCTCTGTAGGCACAGTTACCTGTCATCACAAGGATCAGAATTCAAGTACCAGAATAGTCCTAACTCCTAATCATCCTGATTTGTCAAAAGCACATGCAAGTATTTTATTATTTTTTTTTTAAACTTTTTAGCTCACCTGAGCCAAATTAAGGCTCAATAACAGAAAAGCTATGTTAAGTCATAGTGACATGTTTACAAGCATCCTCATGTATTGAAGATGTAAATTTGTTCAATTCATGAGTACCCTTTGCGGTAGGGAGGGAAATGATGGGGAGTCAAATTCCCTCGCCACCCCACCACCACACCCTTTCAGTAAACTTTCAATTCTGATCTGATTTATACATTTTCCTAGCTGATGTGCTCAGGTTAGCGATGTGGCCCCTGGACCTTTTGTTTAAAATTTTGACAATTTTGACTACGCTGGAAATTTTTTATTTAATTTTTCTCACCTAAGCCAGAAGCTTAAGTTAATTAGCCCTTTTTGCAGTCAAAATTTGTCTGTCATAATTTTTTTTCATTTTCATTGTTAAGCGAAACTTTAAAAACATTTTACTTAATAAAATAACAATTGCTTATAAAAAGTTATTAAATTTGTGAGATTCTCAATATGATACATTTCAGCTACTGACACAAGAGAAGAATGTGGGGCAAGTGCCAATAAAGGTTTGACTGATGGGGTATACCTGACTTCTCGGCATTCTGGTTATCACCATCCGATTCAGACATGCCAGTGAAGATCAACTTCAAGGTGACCCTTGCATTGGTAAGGATTGAAATCAATGAGGACACTTGAGGCATGCATGTGTCAATTTATTGTTATTTGTTTTTACACCTATTGCTTCTCTACCCATCAGTTGTTGTGTGTCATCAATTGTCCAATACCGACTGAACCATTATCAACCAAATTTTGCATGTTAAAATTTTGCATTTCCAAAATTGTACTTTATGTTGCCCCTGGGTAATAGATAGGTTCTGATGTTATGGTAGATATATCATAAATGCAGTAATTCTTTGACAGTCATCTTTTCTGATCCTAGGTACTCAGCAAATAAACTTAATGCATACATCTATTATATTATCCTATGTTTAGTTGTTTACGCCTTTATATATGCCTAAATTACAGCTTAAAGCAAGTACTGAAGTTTCTGAAATGCAAGGCAAACTCAAGGGTCAAGGTGAAAAGGTCAAAATTGTTAACATCTGAAGGATTTAGGTTTAGTCATATGGAATAAACCTGTGAAATGTGAGACATTTAGTATTAACTGTTAAAAAGTTATGGCTTAGATTATAGTTTTTAAAAGTGGGTCAAACTCTTAGGTCAAGACCAAATGGTAAAAAAAAACTCTTTGAAGGGTCTTGTCACAATGATTACAAAATAATGTGAAGTATCAGATTGATAGCACTAGATGTTCAAAATTATATCCTAGGTCAAAGTTTATGGATTTTTTTGTTGTTGTTATAAAAGTGGATCAAACCCTAATATCAAGGTCAAGAGGTCAAATTTTATAGTACCCCAAAAAAGTTCTTGTCACAAGAAATACACCTGGTGAATATGAAGCCATAGCTCCACCTACTGAGTACTCATAAGTAATGGATAAGGTTAAAAGTTTTGAAGACAAATACTGGTAGACAAAAAGATGGACATACAGTGCAAAAACAAAATATACCTAAGAATCTTTGATAATGGAAGCAAAATTAATGCACAATTATTTTTTCATGACCATTTAAATAATTACAAAGATTCAAACTTATTAAAATATTACTTTAAAAAGTTGATCGTGTTATTTGATTTCATAATAAGAAAAATAAAATGAGATATAAATTAAATTCATGACCAGTCTTAATAATATTTTTAGATTTATTTCTGTTCTTTGCTTTACAGTGAGCTTTTGCTGATGGACACAAATTGTTCAGAAAAAATCCAGCTACCACATTAATCACAGCCTGATAGATTTCTAGCGTGACTTCAGAAGAAACATAGATGCAATGGTAGGTAAATTTTGCCTTTATATTCCCTTGCAACACATACAAATTGCATCATCAGTTCTAGGTCAATGAAAAAGAGACAATGTTATCTCAAGGTTTGTTTGAAACCTGACATAAGATTATACTGTTTAAAGTTTAAAGTCATTTGCAGGAAAATGTTTTCATTTTTAGCTCACCTGAGCCGAAGGCTCAGCGAGCTTTTCTGATCACATTTTGTCTGGCGTCCGTCCGTCTGTCTGTCTGTCTGTCTGTTTCACATTTCCGAACTTCTTCTCAAGAACTGCTGGGCCAATTTCAACCAAACTTGCCACAAAGCATCCTTAGGTAAAGGGGATTCAAGTTTGTTCAAATCATGACCCCCGGGGGTAGGGCGGGGTCACAATGGCTGAAGTTTTAAATAGAAATATATAGGAAAATTCTTTAAAAATCTTCTTAAGAACAGCAAAGCAATAATTGGTCATATTTATATGGAAGCATCCCCAGGTAGTGTAGATTCAAGTTTGTTCAAATCATGACCCCCGGGGGTAGGGCAGGGCCACAATGGCCGACCAGAGTTTTATATAGAAATATATTGGGAAATTCTTTTAAAATCTTCTTCTTAAGAACAGCAGAGCCATAATTGGTCATATTTATATGGAACCATCCCCAGGTAGTGTAGATTCAAGTTTGTTCAAATCATGATCCCCTGGGGTAGGGCGGGGCCCAAACCTTTGGATTTAAACTTTTCAATAGTATTGTAATCCAATTTCTCCTTTTTCCTAGCCACAATGCTCAGATGAGCAATGTGGCCCATGGGCCTCTTGTTTTTTTCAATAATTTTATACTTAAGAAACATTGATATATGATTTTGAATGAATTATATTTATGATGTATGATTTTGAATTTTTTAAAGATCATTTACAGTGAAAGCAATATGAGTTCAACCTTATACTGGGATGATATGAGTTTGCTATATCTACATTTGTTCATATTTTATGTTATCTTGATAAATATGCTATGGAAATATTGACTTTGGAAATGCAGTTGTAAAATTCATGACTGTATTTCATTTACCGGTACCAAGTAGTCATTACAATTATTTTCTCTTGCAGATGAAACATTATCTCCAGACATATGGGTGGCCCTTGAGCAGAGAATTGTCAAAAATTGAAGCATTCAATAAAGAAGATTAAGAAACAGAATGTGTCCAGTTGTTTGTTCATCCAAAGAATAACTTGGATAATCATAGTGGTGCTTCCTCAAAATCTGCATGTGTTTGAATTAAGCAGTTTCAAATTAAGATTAAGATAAAGCTCATTAAGTCATTTGCAGGATCAGATTTTGATATATCATTGTACTTATTGCATCTTTTTGAATATCAGTAACAGTGAAACCTTGATGATTAGTTGTAAAAATTCATATACAGATCTAAGTATCAGAATTTCCTAATACTTTTCCTCAAATGATTAAAAGAATTGAAAGTCCTATATACTGTGTACATCACATGGATTTGATATGAATATCACAAAAAATTCACACGAAATTCATATGAAAATCTGTAAAGAAAGTAGCAAAAATATTCATATGAATTTCGTGCGAATTTTTTGTCGCATGATATTCATGCGAATTTCATGTAAAAATCACATGATATTTTTATGCGAATATCATGCGACTTGTTTTTCGTCTCCTTTTCATGCGAAGAATTCGCATAATATTCGTGCGAATTTCATATGAAAATCATGCGAGCCACTTTTCCCTGTGTAGATTAATGTTAGAGGAATTTCAATAAACTAGTGAAAGTAAGCATTCGTAAGTAACCTTTACACCTGATCTCATCATGATTTTCCAGAGGTTCCAAGATTTTTGAGATCGATCACTGTTAGATTTTTCACCCTTTTCATTCTACGGGAAAATATATGATTATTAATAAAATATTCAAGCAGATATTTTAAAATGGCCTCGCACACTTAACATACTAAAGATTTCCCAACAGCAATAATATTTTGAATGGTTCTATTTCTGCCAATAAAAGTCAACTAGTAGATGGCAAGTCGAATTTTTCTATACACCCAACGGTTCTTCTACAATCTTTGATACGGAAGCAAAGACATTTTCCAACAATAAAGCAATATGAACTGTATTTTTGAGAATTTTTTTTTTGCTATTTATATGTGTTATTATGATTAATATAATTTGTATATGATTTAAACCCTTGTGATTAATAAAACCAAAGTAAATTGTTTTAATTGTATCAGAAGAAATGTTTTTGTACAATCGAATATAGAGCATTATATAAGAGATCAATAGTGCACAGGACGACAATAATGAAATTTTGCTATAATTAAAGCTTATATATAAAAGTTCTTCCATCGCAAATATGAGTAGCTGTAGTTTATAAATGTTCTTTTTTTATCATTGAAAAAAGTGATTATAAATTTGCAATACAAATTCCCCATGTCAATCTTGCAGCTCATGTTGATAATTTTATTACGTTTTGCTTCTTCGAGTTTAATTCTTATACCATTCTTTCTCCCTAAAGTCATTAATTGAGTTGTACAAAGAAATCAGTGAGGAAGATTTAAAAGTTGGTCTTAAAGATTAGTCTTATACTCAAACAGAAAGGAAAAACCCTTTTCTATAAAACTTCACAATTCTGAATCTGTTCATCTTCTTAATCTATGTGAATATGTGAGGATTAACTTACTGTACATAACTCTCGTCTGAACCCATAGCAAATTAACTTTTACTTACCTATGTAGATTTACTTATGTGTAAATTTGCACACATAAGCAACTTTTCGTCGTAGGAATGGGGTATTATTTCCAGGAATTGTTTACTTTCTGTTTTTGACAATTGATGGATACATCACAGTTTTCTTGTTGATTTTATATAACATTTATGCGATAACTTCATACGTGTTATGTATTTATTTCATTATATTCTATAATACATATGAGAATAATCTGTATTTTGAAGACTGTGTATAATTTATAATGTATAATTTATCCAAAAAAAAAAACACTCCATAGCATATGGTTCTCTTTTGGTCACACGATCCCTGCAAAAACCCTGGCTTTTTACTTGCGGATTTAATACTGAAAACTCACAATCCATCTCTGACTAATGGATTGTGATATATCTCCTGTCGTTTTTTATGGTTTCTTTCAGTGGCAGCCGACTTTTTATTCGTCCTTTTGCTAGCAGTTCTCTGCGTTGCCTTGACTTACAGAAAAAAATCTCAATCATGTAACCTTTGTACTTCCTAAATTTAACAGGAATGGTGAAAAATGATAACATTAGTTCTCATCTGTTCGACTGTCTTCTGTGTTAAAAACTTAGCATTGTTTTAAAGTAACTTTCTGTAATGTAGCATAATGAAAGATATGCCTCATCGAAAAAATTGAAAGTTTCAGACCGTTAATGTAAAACAGTTTTCTATTCACGGCAACTTTATACATACAGTGATATTAACCGCAAATAAAGTTGCTTGCGTATGCTAAAATGTATTGACAATCAAGTTTATTTCAAGATATTTCAAACAAGAAAGTATTTCTTTTTAATTATTTCCTGCATCCAACTTGACCTGTCACAGTTGACGTTTTTACTTAAGGCAACATTTCTGCCAGTTTTATGCTGCAACTGCTTTTAAAAGTGCACGTGTAGATTTTTCCATTACATCTTTGCTTACCCAGTGGAGAAATCACTATTTTCTCTGAGGTATTTATTTCTGTGGTTCTTAAGGTATAAAATAAAAGACCCATGAATATATGTCTATCATAATATAATTTCTCCAACTAAATTACTATTTAACAATTCGTTAACCGTGAAATCAAGTCCTCATTAACGAATATATTTTTCTCAAACCTCAAAAATATTTGATGTTAGAGTTTCATAAAGACGATAGCATGACGCTTAATCTTAATTTTCATCATCTGATTAAAGAACATTACACCCGACTTGTTAACTGAAGGCTTTAACATTAAAACCGATTTGTTTCTTTGCCTCTATGTGCAGATTAAGCATTATTTCACCAAGCCCGAGGACCACTTGCCTTTTTAAGATACAATAATAAGTGTGTGATTCATGTGCAACATTAGCTATTCACCATTTAAGTTTTAACTTTATGTCATTGAAATTAGACATTATGTATACACAGTAGATAATACAAACAGGATTCGGAAACACGTTTTACAACTTATATTATTTCCTTTCCTTAAAGAAATTCACCAATCTGGGTCTCATTCATGGGCGTCGGAAGCAAATTGAAAGGGGGGGGTAAATCGAAAGTGTGTGTGTGGGTGGGGGGGCATATCAACAAAAAAGGTATATCAAAATTACCACTGTCTATATAATGGTTAAGCCCCGCCCCCTCCCCTCCCTCAGGTCTTGACGCCTTTGTCATTTTAACAGCATATTACGATTCTTTTTGAACATCTATCATAAGTACTTTTCATTTTTTTTTTAATTTTTAACAGGCTTAAAAGTATCCTTATAGAATTTTCTGATATTTTTGTATCTTACAAATGTACGTCTTTTATAAGACTCAAAAGTAAATATAATAATGATGATTTATAGTGTTACATTAACATTTAGAGGCTGATGTATCAAAGTTGAAATAAATAAATTAATACTTAATAATGTCTTAGAGTAAGATAATTTTTACTTTGAATTTTACAAAATTCCTGATTTTTAATTTCATTCAGTTCGAGTTGATAGCTAACAAAAAACACTGTTCAATATCATAACATAACAAGCACTAACTAAATTAAAAACAGAACACCTTTCATTGTTAGATTTTAAATTGCAATTTCAAAATAAACGTTTATGAAAATTCATGACAATTCATATGAACTTCGATAAAATCGATACTTAAACAATAGTGAAATATAGAATACGTAACAGTTAGCCAATCGCTTTTCAGACATTGATAATGGTACGATATATATGTCTGGCTGTTGAAAGACCATTTAACCGAATTTCATAGATTCACGAGAACGCGGCAGATTTTTACGCAACAGAAAAAAAAATGAGCAATCAGTGGATTATCAGTTTATTTGTAGGCTTCTTGGCTTTATCTAAAGCTACCTTTATTTCTAAGAAATATACAACGAAACTCGAATTTAATGATAAGAAGTCAAACTTTGAACTTTTCGGGGAACACAATGTTCATTCCTTGATCGAGTGCGCCACAATCTGTCAAAGGGAGTGCAGCTTCTTTGGCTTTAATTCTCAAGCGAGGAAATGTCGTATCCACAAGGAAAGTCTGACATCTGGGCTGTCTGATGAGGCCGGTTGGAGATACTACTCGGATAACGGTATGTATTTTTTTTTTATTTCATTCTTTTAACTTGTTTGGTTTTTAGGTCCTTCTCGAGGGGACACGATTTTTTTTATCAAGTTTCTTGTATTTTTTTTTCTTAGATATTTCTAGCATGCCCAAGGATTGCAAGGATCTTCGAGAAAATGGAAAAACCATTACAGGGGTGTATGATATATACCCCTACAGAACATTAGCAAGTGTCTACTGCGACATGACCACGATGGGCGGTGGATGGACGGTAGGTTTTTTTAATTTTATAATTAAAAGTACTTAATATAACACACCTTGTTTTGGTGGTTTTAAGGATTGTACTATTGTATTGTAGTTTATATCATAAAAATGGATCCTACGAATGTTCGAAGCAATAAATTGAAATGTAATGTATGTTAATTTTTGAAGGCCATTCAAAAACGCTTAGACGGATCCGTGAGATTTAACAGGACCTGGACGGAATATAAAAATGGCTTTGGTTCACCAGAACGGAATGTCTGGATTGGTAAGTGTATATCTGTTTTAAATAAGAACTTTTCATTCCTTCAAAGTTTTAAGATAAAAAAATTCTTGTGGAAAGTAAAAAAAAATATAATGCATAATAAAGATCTAAGTTAAGACCAGTTAATGTGTGTTCTATGATATTCAGATATCGTGTTTAATTGATATTTCAAATAAAAAAATAGAAATGAAGAATATCATTTAGTGGCATATTCTAATGAGACAAAATTTAGCAATGTCTACAGCTATGGAAAATAATTTGATTTTTCATTAGGGTAGATTCATATAGATTTTAAAAGAATTAATTGTATTCGATGAACTTTTCAGATAATTTTAAATATATCTTTATACAGGAAATGACGTAATCCATAAATTAACAAAAGAAAACACCTCATCCCTGTATGTGTCCATCACTCTCCAGAATGGTACAACTCTGTATGAAATGTACGATCGATTTTTTATCTCCAATGAAACAGGAAAATATCAACTCTCTCTTGCAGGACCTGCCACAGGGACACTAGGTAAGTGTATTTATGTTAAGTTCTTAAACTTGGGTTCAAATCACGTATATTATCAATAAGTATTCTTTTCTGTATTGAAAGATTTTAAAGTTCTTGAAAAAAAAAGAAAGGTGTGTTTATTTCTGATATTCTGTATACGTTTTTTATTTCACTATAAATAAACATGTTTAATATTTCAGAGTTTCATTTGCAGATACAATTCATATATTCAGCAGATATTGAATTTGTTATTGTCAAGTAGATAAAATTTCTAATTATACATTTTATATACAAGGAAAATTATGTTATTTTTTTAACAAATAAATCAAATAATTACATTTGTTCAACATTGTTATTCAGCTTGGATTTCCTGATTTTTGATAATTCACATTTTAACTGATACGGAAAAAGTTTACAGAGCATGTTATTCTGATTTTCAATAATTTACATCTTTTTACTACTACGGAATAGGAAGTTTACGGTGCGTCATTAATCTTAAATGTCGAAAGGTTTACGAAAATTTGATGATAAAAAATTTTTGATCGGATAAATATTCAAATAAAAATTTTAAAGACCTAAACCCGTTTCACATTTCCATTTATTTAATAGGAAATCTACCATCTTAAAAGATTCACAGATGCACCATATCTTATCTCGTTATTAATAATTTATATAGTATTGCATGTTGTACCTGTTTATATTAATATTATATTTCAATTTGTTCTGTTTTTTTAAATTTCTAGTGACCTTTATCCCCCCCCCAATACAATAATACCATGCTTAAAAAGTGTAACACGTCTGTTGTTTATTTTCACAAAGGATGTTATGTGAATCGCGCAGTGTTTTGTTTTGTATTATTTTTATCTCTCTTTCCAGGAAACAACACGTTAAACTGCGTATCTCAGATGTACTTCAGTATTAAAATCAATGTGATATAAATTAATATTTATTCTCTCTGTTATATATTGTTTTTTTAAATCTGCAGGTGCCAGTATAAAGACACCAGGGATTCAAGGACTGAACTAAATAAATATTATCACTCTTTCCATCGACTAGTTACCTCAGTATTATATTTGATAATTAGATACAAGATATATAAATACCTTATCTCTGTGGTTACTTTTGTGTAACTTTACAGGTGACGCTATGTTAGACACTGATTCTTCTTCGAAAGATCTGTCTGGGATGTCCTTCACCACCCCAGACAATGATAACGACAAATATAGTGGTGGTAACTGTGCTGCTGTGTACAGAGGTGGTTGGTGGTTCAACTTGTGTCACTACGCCTTCCTTAACGGGCCCTGGTCCCTGGAGTCCTGGGCCTCTCCATGGCATCCCACAGTACAATGGGGGACATCAGTGAAGGGGACCACCATGATAATCAGACGGAACTAGGTAAACATCATAACATCTTAATAACAAGTTCTTTTTATTTTTGTATTACTCTGAAAATTTTAGTTATAAAACTTGTTTTTTTTAATAAAAAAAAAAAATGTTATCATACATTTATCTGTGAAGTATTAATTTAATTTTTCTTTTTAACAGACGAAAGATCATCCATGGATTACGGAAACCCCCAAGAGACGATTTTAAATTTTTATCGCTGAGTTCTTATTTTTTCAGTATTTAACATCAAGTAACAAACAGTAAAAGAAGGGGGGTTGAACTGCTCTGTAAAGCGATACTGAATGTATTCAGTTAAAGATGTATTTTATATGTGTTGTAATAAATTTGAAAATAGAAATATTTCGTTCTTTTTTCCAAACACTGATAAATGGAGATAACTGGACGGAGAATTAGGATGAAGATTACTTTATTGTTAAACCTATTACAGTGAAACCTGTTTAATCCGACACATGCAATACTCTTTATTGTGATTTCAGCCATTTAATTTCATTTGTCATTTATACTTATGTCAATGATCTTTACACGCTGCAGTACTACATCTTGTTTATTCCAACACATATATTTTTAATCTGTTCCCCGTGCATGTCGGATAAGACAAGTTTCATTGTAATAAAGATGTTAAGATATATTTTTTTAAATCATAGATATATTTGATGGTCATGTTTTGTGGTACACTACATCTAAGATTATACATCTCTAAAAACATATCCCCATCTTTTTCCATCCATGCAGTATTTTTAATGAATGGGCATTTAATTATCCATTAATCTACTTGAAACCGCTTAAATTGAAATTATTGTTATTTTTAATATCACGGAGAAAATAAGCTAAAATGTTGAAGTGAGGTGTACTGAATATTTCTTTCCCCAAATCTAATTATACCATAAATATATTTAGATAGCCTGAATTTTAGGTGTGGCAAGAAACGCAAAGATATTAGATTCTCAATGATACTAGATTATGAGCTAAAAGTTAAAAAAAAACCACGTTTTTTGAAAATCAATATCTTCTATTGCTACAGATAATCATTAAAAAATAGATCTTTCTGCTCTTGAGTGCACAATTTATCTCATACGTGTTGGTGATACAGGCCGTTGGATAAACGTATGCTTTATCAACGGGTAGATGCTTTATCAAAAGCACTTCCGGTTTCGACACGATTCCTCGCTTCAAAATTTTATTTGAACCTTTTATCTGTGATTCCTATTATTGCCATAATAAAATGAATGATAAAGATGAAAGGCCAGAAAAAGACTTGCATATATCAAAGAAGTGTCTTATTTTATCAAGGAACCTGTATTGGCTACTTGAAGATAGATGTTACCCCCCCCCCCCCTTTTAAATCGTTTTCGGAGAAAGTAAAGCCTAGCAGTTAAGTTGTTGTTATAGGATTCCTTTAACACATTCAATAAGGCTTTCTTATATCATGCAACGTATGCCTACCTAGTAATGTAGGTGTAACTTACCACGGATCAACAATGAATCTACAAGTAGGCCCCTAGCCTTGCCTATCACGTTTTGTACTGCCATCGTCCAGAGAGTTCATTTTCATGATCCAATGGTCCTTACATCTTTCATTCAGAAGTGCGTTTGATGTAAAGCTTAACAATTGTCACATGATGTTTTCAAAGATGCAGATAGCAAAAATTTTAACTTTTGAACACGATCTACTTTTTTGCGAGATTTGTCATAACATCAACGGTGATACGTAATCAAGTTATACGTCATCAATTTGAATTTCAATCATTCATGTAGTTTGGCAGGGGAAGTCTCAAAGTTTTGTTGAAACGAAAGTCGTATGAGATAAATAGAACATCTATAATTGTGTGATTTGATATTGGCTTTATCCAACTCGTTGAAATGGCAAGCCTCGCGAATAAATACACCATTTCAACTCGTTGGATGAAGCCAATATCAAATCACACAATATAAATATCCTCTATATACGTTATAGTAGACTTATACCGATACTGTAATTTTTAGTGTGTGTTTTGTTAATTTTTTTATCACAAAACACCATAACACAGATCGGGGATTAAAAGGTTACATGTGCAATATGCGTTTTATTTGGACGTCACAAACGTTAAACGCAAAATTTGAAATCATTTTAATTTATTGTTAATTAGGTTAGAGATAATTCAAGTAAATTAAAAAATAAAATCAAATTGCAAAACAAGACAAGGAGTTAGAAAAAAATAACCACTGATTCATTATTTTTTGAAAGATGTTATCTTATATCTGCAACTGCCTTTGCAAATAAAACTTAGCAAGCTAACATTAATCATTATGTTTGCAAATTCTTTTGCAATTATGGGACTATATCTTTAAAAAAAAATGATTCAATATGTGTGAAAAGTCATTCTCTATTGTGCAATGTGTAAACTATGGTTTATATACTAGTATATCCAAACATTTGGTAGACTACAACTTGAAATTTGTTTTTAAATCAATAGGAAAAGTTTTAGGAGCTAATGATAAAAATTCAAGATAAAATTGTGAAATAAAGAGGCTTATGATTAATGTTGTCGTTTGCAGGTCAAACACCAAGGTCAATATAAACTAGTTTTGGTACCAAAACAAAAGTTCCTCACAATGAGTCTACCTTAAAGAAATAAAATCCATAAACGCAGAAACAGTTCAGTAATTATGAATAAAGTTAGAAATTTTCAAAAGTAGGTCAAAGTGGACAAGGTCAAGGAGTCAATATTGATGATACCCAAAAGAATTTCACAAAAAATACATAGGTGAAATATAAAAGTCACGGAGTCAACCATTCAAAAGTTATCACCAAAGTTGTTTTTTTTTTTTTAAAAAAAAAGGTCAAAGTCTGCTGTCCAAATAAAAGGATAAAAAAATAAAATAAAATATTGGTATACAAGAGAAGCTCTTACCACAAGAAATGAACCCGTAAAATAGTTAACCCCTAGCACAAAATATTCAGTATATACGTCCAAAGTTTACGTTTTTGAAAAGAAGGTCAAATCAATCAGATCAAGGTTAAATGTCATTACTGTTTGTACTCAAGAGAAGATCTTATCAAAATATAAGCGTGAGGAGTATGATATCACTTGATTTAACCGTGAAGTAGCTTTGGCTAAGAATAAAATTTTGAAAATATCTTTAAAACTGAGGTCGTAAAGGTCAAAGTCAAAAATACTTTTACCCTAGGAAAAGTTTTTACACGTTGAATACACCAGTGAAATGTGGGCGGATTTATATATATTGAATATATTTATTAAATTTTTTTGCATTTTAACTACATTTCTAAATACCTAATTGAACGATGTCTTTGAAAGTAAAGTTACACTAGTTTGTGTGCGCAGGTGGATTGAGTTGGTGAACACTTTCTTTGATTTACTATTGGTTAAGAATTTTCATTGGCTGTTTTCATAATGAACCATCAAATCAGATCGTTCCTTTTTGTATTATAAGCTAGCCAAGTCTAAATTCAAATCACTGCAGATCCGGCGCCCTGATTAGACACTTCCACCTCGCACAATGTATTTTATTATATAATTATAACTTTAAATTACAATTAATCGTAGTAAATAAACGACTAAGATTATCAGTAATAAAGTTTAATATGTATTTACTTGTCATACGTAATGCATTACTATGTATAAATTGTATATATTTACATATACTTGTATTTTTTTGTAGAATCACCTTATACGTTACGTAAATAAATATAGAAACCTACATCGACATCTTTATTTCACTTGGTCACAGAAATATTAAAGGTCAAATATCAAGGAAATAGATATACTTGTATATAATATATGTTGTAAACAATGATTAAAAAAAGAAGGAATTACAATATTTGTTCAATTTTAAACCTCGTTGTTTTCTTTATTTACCTGTTCAAATATTGCTAAACATAACGTTCATCAATAGAGTTACTTCCCCTTTTTGTGACGTCATTAGAGACACTCGACAAAATCTAGATACATAAGTATAGTAAGAAGTGCTCTTGGTTATCTAAAATTATGGCAAATTTTGGGGAACAGAAATGTTGATATATCAGAGTTATGCGTAGATCTGTCTGTTAAGAATAGGCTTTGTATACATATATTTGAGACAAGAATGTACGCAAATTAATTATTCTTAATTCTTCGACCGATTCTGTTTCGTCTGAAGCCGGTAAGGGTGAAAGTGGAAATTAAAATAACACCACTGACAAAGGATCATCACAGATTTAAAGGGGGGGGGGGGTTTCCAGGAAATACCCCGTCCTAACTGCATTTTTTTTTTAGACACGATAATTTGGCAGATAATCAATTCCTTGTCTTTTACACCACACCTTCCGTTTTTTGTCAGTCAAGTTTTAGAGATTGTTCCTTCACAGTATAGCTAGTATTTTTTTTTACTTCAGCATGTAAGAGGTTAACGCCGAAATACATGTACTTTTGACTTGGCGCCGCGTAATGTTCAGTCATGTACATGTATATACCGAGTGCATGCTGTAATTTAAAGGACCAATCTCTAAAACTTGACAAATGCGGAAAATATGAAATATCGAAGTATCGGTACGAAGGACAAGGAATTCATGTATATTTTTCTTAGTTTTAATTTCAGTAGGGGGGAAGGGTTAAAGTACATCTGTACATGAACCAATCGAC